GATCGGGTCGTCTTGCCCGTTGGGCTCTTCGGTTTCGAGAATATGACATCCTCGTTGAAGATTGTTCCGGCTGAAAGCATACCGATGCTGATGCACTGTCGCGATCTCCCCTGTCACCGGACATGGCATCTGTTTCCTCGGACAATACGTTGTCAGCTCTTGACGAGGACACCATCGCTTCTGTACAACGCAATGACCCATGGATCGCTTCGCTTCTTGACGCGTTATCCGAGGCACCGACCCTTACAACCACTCGAACCTTACGCCGCCAGGCTCCGCACTTCAGTATTCGGGACGGTCTTTTGTACCGGCGCAACTATTCAGCAGATGGTAGGAAATGGCTACTAGTCGTTCCCCTAACGCTGCGCTTTACTATCTGCGCGTCGTTTCATTCCAACCCGCAATGTGTTATGGCGGGTGTTTTCAAGACCTACGAGCGCCTACAAAAAAGGTATTACTGGCGTGAAATGTTTACCTTCGTCCGCCAGTTCATTCGCGGCTGCCACGAATGACAGCAGCGGTAAAACCTGCCGCATCCTGCAACAGGTTCATTGCAGCTACTTCCATGCCCAGACCACCCATTCGACCGTGAGGGAATTGACCTCTACGGACCACTACCACTGACAACGGCAGGCAACTAATGGGCTATCGCGGCTGTGGATCATCTTACACGGTACGCTGAAACTGCTGCTCCCCCACAGCTGCAGCACAAGACGTCGCAACTTTCATGCTCAATCGTTTTGTGCTTCGCCATGGTCCTCCTCGCGAACTCCTCAGTGACCGAGGGCGTGTTTTACTCTCCGATGTAATCCAAGCAATTCTTAAACAGTGCCATATTGTACACCGGAAGAGTACAGCCTACCACCGAGAGACGAACGGTTTGACTGAGTGGTTTAGTCGTACTCTGGGGGACATGTTTGCGATGCATGTCGCTTCTGATCAAACAAACTGGGACCTACCTCGTTCTTTCATTTGTGACATACGCGTATACCACCGCTACGCAAGTCACTTCCAGGTTTTCGCCATTTTTTCTCCTGTATGGTCGCCAACCATCGCACGCCATTGACACTTTACTGCCATACTCGCCAGATACCTCTGAATCCACGCCTGTCTCAGAAGCCACTCGTTACGCAGAAGAGTGCCGCAAGCTAGCCAAGCGGCTTCCTACAGCCGACCAACAGCGCCAGAAGGAGACCCGTGACGACGACCATCGTTCTGCACCAACATTCGTTCCTGAAGCACTTGTATGGCTGCATGCACCACCCTGCACCCCTGGTGCATCACCCAAGCTACTTTATAATTATCATGGTCCCTACCACGTGGTTGAGCGTACCTCACTCGTGAACTACGCCATTGAACCCCTCACGCCACCGAGTGATCGACGTCGGCGTGGACGTGATATCGTTCACGTAAATCATCTCAAGCCCTACTTCGACCCGCTTGTCCCCACTTGTTAGATTGCCAGGGTGGCTTCAACTTTTTGCGGGGGGTAATTATAGTGAATAAAAAAAGACGTTGATACGATCGGCTCAACTATCATCAACACAAAAAAGGCACGAGATCGGTGATCGCGCACCGTCATCTGGGTCCGCCTGCGTTCCTTTTCGAGCTACCATCCACTTGCCCAGTTCCTTCGAAAAAGCCCCGTTACAGCTCTATTATGTGACCGTTGTTTTCTTTTTTTCCCTTTTTTATATATCTCTAGGTCGCTCAAGTATGATGCTTTTACAATTGTTTATTTTTTCCTAAAAGACTGCTATTATTTGTTTTTCTGTTACAATATCCCTATATTGGACTCTTCACTAGACGCTTAGGCTATGGGTCCAAATATTTCTGTACGCATTTTTATATTACCTTGTAATATAATAATCCTTTGATTCACTGATTGATGATGCAAGAAAAATTGACATAAGGTAGGAACCAAGCACTGCGTAGAATGCTTTTGAACATTGTCTGTAGGCCAAATGCGTTCTAACGCAACTAACAGTGCCTGACACTTCATGATGTGACAGATATTGCTCATAAACCTGCAACTAAATTTTCTATGGAAGGTTTTTGAACGTTGTCAGTAGTCGAAATATTCTCTAAAGTGACAAACCACATCCGACACTTCGTGATGTCACAGATATCGATCTTGAGGTTGCAACCGGGCCCTGTATGGAAGGCTTTTGATGAAGTCTGTATTAGAAATATCCTCTAATTAGAGAAAGCACACATGACTCTTAATGATGCAACGAATACTGGTGCAACAGATATATAATAAGAGAGGAAACAAGCACTGCGTAGAGTGCTTTTAGGCATAGTCTGTAGCCGAAATATGCTCTAATGCAACATACTCTGCTTGACACTACATGATGTGACAGATATTGCTCAAAAGACTGTCACTTAATCTTGTATGAAAGACTTCTGGACGTCTGTAATCAAAATGATTCTATAAAAACACAAATCGCGCTCACAGTTCATGAAGTCGCAGATATCGTTCATATGATTGCAACTGAACCCTGTGCAGAAGGCTTTTGAGCGTTGCCTGCGGCCAAATTGTTCTCCAATGCAATAAACCACACCCCACAATTCATGACGCAACATATATTGATCATAAGATTGGAACCGAGCACTGCGTAGAATGCCTGCGGGTGTTATATTTATTCACTTTCAAATACTGCAGCCCACTGCGGGGCTACTGCGGAAGTAGTGTAAATAAATACAAAACGAAAGCATTTAAACCATAATATCACAATAAGTGTTCCAACGTAAACAAATATCACTACCTTTTGTATGCAGCTCGGTAACAAATGAGAAAAATAGAACATTAATATGGTACAAGTGCCTCCAAACAGTCACACTGGTATCGTGAACGAAACCAAGTAGATCATTCTAGTGTTTGATAAATTTATTTTAATATATCAAAGAGCCCTCAAAATGGCTCTAAACTGAATTGTAGTTGCACATGCAGGCTGTGTTGAAGGCTTTTGCAATTTGTTGGTAGTTTAAATATCCTCTAACATTTACAAAATGCATCTGAAACTTCTTGATGAGACAGATATTGGTTTCAAGATTGCAACCAAGCACTGTGTAAAAGGCTTTCACATATCATCTGTAGTCCGAATACCCTATAATGCAATAAAGCATGCCTGAAATTTTCGATGCAGCAGATTTTGGTCATAGGATTCATTCAGAGCACGGTACAAAACTTTTTGGCAAGTTTTCTAACATAACTAAACTGAATACCTGAATATTTCAAATATGCTTAAGTGCGTGCATATGTAGCACAAGTTAAAGCGTATAACTAAAACTGAACGGAAACTAAGCATTCTTTGCAAACACCTACGAAGATTCAATGTTTGAAACCATTTAATAATTTCTTCAGATCATTACAGCCTAGGGGAACAGATAAATGCATGCACAGTTCTGAAGAGTCTCATAAGTCATATGAGGCACTGTTTGCAATTATTCTGAACAAAGCGCAGTACAACACCAGTGCACTTTTATTTATTTTGTACATACATGTGGTGACCTTCTCTTTTTAATATATCGTTTCATTGTGCAGCTCATTTCAAATCAGGTGCTTCTCACATGATTTTCGGTTATTATATATCTGTCCAGCTGTAAACAAAAGATGCGTTATATTACAGTAAACTGCACAACGATGAAGAAGCGACATTATATGCCTATAGCTATGAGTATCACAATGAACTAGAAATTAAGAATGTGTGTTTTAGAATGCTTCCAAACAACGTATGTGCTACTGAGAGTGGCAGAGAATCAGAACAAGCGAGAAGTGAAATAGCAGGCAATACCAGCAGCTCTTCATCATGCAACCTTTTATTTTTTCGATCACCACAGTAACGCAAGTTCGAGTTTCTATCTTGTACATGAATGGAAATAAGACCGCTGACAGCTGAATGTGTCAGCGTCACTGGTACCTGACACGAAACCACATCACACTGTTACTAACCAGCGTACCCTTGTTTATTAGCTTGGTAACACACGTAAACAATTTGCACCAAAGCCAACGAATGTTTCAGCGTCATACAATCCGCGAATACACTTATGTAAGTACGTACGTTTTGGCATCACCGAAATGTGTTGGCTAGTGCGAGGTTCGCTTTAAACGATGATCATTGCCGATGTTGAAAACAAACAAAGTGCAGATAAAAACTCCTCCGTAGGCACTACGCGATGTTTCGGGCGTCATATAATGCGTCTACGTTGTGACGGAAACTACCGTAGATTTTTTTCAGCCGATGTTCCCCGAATTGAGCTGTTTCATACGAACGCGGCGGTACAGGCCTACACTGGATGCAGATGACACTGCTCTGAATTGATTCCGTGGTGATCAAGGGCTCACGCTCAAAGCTTCGAACCTCCGAAGCCTGTTTACACTTGTTTTTCGCACAGAAAATCACAGCTCAAAGCACAGGAAAACCGACATGCTCTAGTAGTCTGAACGATGTTTTCGCTCAGCGGACGATGCAACTCAGGACCGGTGCAAGCGCATCCAGCCGGCATTCGCTGTATTTGTCGGCGTCATTCGAACACGACATGAAACCGCGTCACTCTGGTAGCACTAGCAGTCATTCGTCATCTAGTTATCGTTCGAGATGACGAAGCCGTCATTCAGGAACGTTTGCAGGAGTTTCCGTGCTTGCTTCCAGCACTCGGCCGTGCCTTCGAAGTGGCAGCCATTAGGCACAGAATTTGGAGGCATCGCGGCCTCAGGTTGGTTGGCACCGCTGTGCGCGTGGTGAAGTTGGTGGAAATAATAAGCCCGGATTAATCCCTCGAGTCTCGTTGCGTATGTTATTCCGACGCCGACGCCGAGAGGCGCATTTGACGCTTTTGACGCGTAGGCGCGAACATACGCTAGCCAGAGGTTGGTACCTCAGTTGGTATAGAGGCTCTAAGCAACACGCTTGATCTCTGCGTCACTCGCGCTTCTACACCTAATCCGCTGAACTACCATGGCAGATGCACACTGCCTATACTAACCGCTATATCACTGAAGTGTGTGGACGCTCTTGCAGGCACAAGATGCACGCTCCAGGCACTGCATAGACTTGATCAACAGCGAAATGCCCCTAGCCGTGGCCACAGCGTACGCCCGCGCTTCGGACACAGCGGCCAACGCGAGCACATCTTCTGCCGCGAACACGATCATCCACGAAGTGGCGTCCAAGATGGCCGAGCTGTTGGACGCATCGGGTCGGTTCCGAATGGCAGAAAGCGTGCGAACCATCCGGGCCATCTTCTTGCTACCCATGGAAGACGTGAGTGACTTCATTTCACCACATTGTGTTGGCGGGCTGGTTGGTGTGAATTCATAGTGCTTTTTTTCTATTTGAAACGACAACACAGGACGACAGGAAAAAGGTGCTATCGTCGAATGACATCATCAGGTGCACCACTGCACTATTTTTCAAAGGACTGATGCTATATCGTGCGTTGTAATCACACGCAGCAACCAACCAAAAATGAAACCAAATAATAAAAATCAAGTGCTATACATTGTTAAAGCCAACTCCGGCGATTTTTCGAGGTTAGTGAATCTCAATAAAATTCGCTGGGTATATATGTTTTTTTGCACATTCAAGTCCTTTATGCCAAATCACAGGTTTGAGTGATGCACTGATCGTTTGCAAATGAATTTTAAAGATTGCCTCGAAAAACTCACCTCACTTGCCAGAATTATTGACAGCACTGTCTGTTTGACGTCATGTTCGGCATGTCAGCGGAAGTGGCGCAGCCGATGGCATGCTACTTTGACTTCTACAACGTTTATTTTGATTTCCACAAGGCGACGGTGGCTGTGTTTGGCACGGGTATAGCACGGGAATGCTTTCTTCCTTCCTCTGTGGTGTTTGGCCGCTGCTTCGCCGGACTGGCTTTCACAGTTTTCATACTACGCACCGGCGGAACCAGTATACGGCCTCCGGCTCTACCAAAAAGTACGCCATACGCAGACAGGGCGCTCGGTTGGGTTTCGGTTTCGTTATTGCACATTTTTGCTTATTAAAGTTATTTTCAAATTTCCTGAGCATTTCAGCTATTGGGCTCGTGACAAGAGTGTCTCAGGAACATATAAACACTATAACCACGACATGGTCAAGAGAGAGAGAAAAAAAAATCTCTTTGCGCATAGCGCGGAGCATTCCAAATGGTCGGGCCCCTATTCCAGGGCTCCGCTGGCCCTAGCCATCACCTCTACCCATTGGACAAGCCAGCGCTGATCAGCAACGGCCGAGCTGGACAGCAGTGCCATTGTTCGTCTGTGTTATTCATGTTGGTGTGTTCTTCGCTGTGATGTGTACACTCCCACGTGATGTGAAACAGAGTGGGTGTGGCCCCACACCACGGACGTATATCTTTGTATGCTGTGGGGTATAATACATGTAGCCTGTGTAAGTTCGTGTATGTGTGTGTTTGGATTCTGCGCGATGCCACCGATTCCATTGCTGTGGGGTTCTTAAGCTGTGCTGGGTACAGTTTTCTATTGTCCCTGTAATACTGAAGAATTTTACCAAAGTTAGGGTGTGTGGGCGTTGGATCCTCTATTGCAGCGTGCAAAGAAGCTCGGTGATTTGTTAAGCCTCGAGCCGCCTAATCCGCAAACTGGTTCCCGGTGACGCCCTCGTGCCCGGGCGCCCAGATAATGGTTTGGATGTATTCAATTGGAAAGTCTTTATGAGCTTTGGTCAGAATTTGGAAAGCCTTAATACATATTTTACCTTTTTCGTAATTCCTACACGCAACCTTCAAATCCGTAATTATGGTCAGTGGGGCTTTTCGCTCCCTGTCCTCCTTGATTGCCAGCGCGATCGCTATCTCCTCCGCTTCTGTGACAGAGGCTTGGGCTATGGAGGCACAACTTGTAACGTTTCCTTTTCGGTCTGTGACCACGGCCACCATGTTCTTTGCATTTGCCTGCATTGGTGCAGCGTCTGTAAATCTCGCCGTATTCAAATATTTTGTCTTATCTATGTAAGCAGATCTTGCTTTACGTCTTCCCGCATGTAGAACTGGGTCCATGTTCTTCTGTAGGGGACATATCTTGTACCAGGCTTTGACTGAGCACGACAATTTCTTAGCTCTTCCATGTGCCTGTACTTGTTCACCAAGGCCGATCCTCTGAAGAAGTTTTCTGCCGGCTGGCGTCCGTAGCAGGCGGTTCATCTGGGTGATTACTTGCGCTTTAGCCAACTCATCAAATGTATTGTGAATTCCCAGCACTCATAGCTTTGCAGTTGAAGTGCTTTGTGGTAGTCGCAGAGCCGCTTTATACGCCTACCTTATTACACGCCTACCTTATTTTGTCTGCTTTTTCTTTCTCCTTTCTATTCATGTTGTGGTAGAGTAGCGAGTTTGTTAGTCTGCTGATGACTAAGCTCTTTGCCAAACGAAGCGCGTCTTGCTCTTTCAGTCCAGCACAATTGTTCGTTGTTCGAACTATCATACGAACAATTTTTGAGCTGTTCGTTTAAGCATATTCAGTGTGTAGAGACATCGCTGGTTGGACTGTAACCACAACCCTAAGATCCGAACAGTTGTTTTCTCTGTAATAATATTGCCATCTAGCTTGACCTCAAGGTGGAGGCTCGGGTCTGTCCTTTGTTTTTTACTCTTGGAGAACCGGATGAGTATCGATTTGTCCGCTGAGCACTGAAGTCCCCTTTCTTTAGTGTACTCTTTGATGGTTTTAGCTGCCATTTGGGGCCGCTCTTTTTCTGCCAAGCTACCCGTGTTTGTCCATATAGTGATGTCATCTGCATAGAAGGAGTGTCGGGCGTCAGGAATATAATCGAGTTTTTTGGCTAGACCAATCATGGCTATGTTGAAAAGCATAGGTGAGATTACAGCGCCTTATGGTGTGCCTTTGATCGGTGGGTGGAAGACTTTGGATTCGTCTCCTCTTAATTTGATGACAGCGGTTTTTTTAGTAAGGAAGTTCTGTACATATTTGTACGTCCTTCAACCGTAGTTTGTCACTACTGACCCATCTAATATGGCCTTATGGCTTACGTTGTCGAAAGCGCCTTTTATGTCGATGGCCATGACAATGTTTTCGCCTGCTTTTGGAACATTTTTTAGTACTTCCTCCTTTAAAAGCAGAAGGATGCGCTGTGTCGAGAGGTTTAAGCTGAAACCAAACATGGTGTTAGGCAACAAGTTCTTTTGTTTAAGATGCCGTTGAAGTCTGGTATTTATTATTTTCTCAAACACTTTGCCTAAGCACGAGGTAAGAGAGATTGGCCTGAGGTATTCTATTGCAAATTTCTTTCCTGGTTTGGGTATCATAATTATTACAGCATGCTACACTGCTGAGGTATAGTGCCATATACCCCGTGTTCGTTAATGAAGTTTAGAAGCGCTGTTATGGCTTCGTCATTCATGTTGCGAGTCATGGCATTGGTGATTTGATCCGCCCCAGGCGCTGTGTTGCGTTTTATGCTGACGATTGCCGCTCTTACCTCGGCATGCGTGAAAGGTGCATCTGGTTCTGAGTTTAGGAGCCCAGTGTATTTAGCCTTGTAAAGGGCTGTGACGGCTCGTGCACCGAAACACTTAATATAGATGTCTTGAAGGAGGTTGTCTCGTGTGCCTGGATATGCGTGCAATATTCTTTCTAGAGATTTTTGTCCTTCCCGTTTAGTTTTCAGAGAATCAATCATGGCTCTGAGGATATTCCGTGTCTTTGCTGTTCCTAGGGTTCCATTTAGCGAATCGCCCCGCCGTGGTGGTCTAGTGGCTAAGGTACTCGGCTGCTGACCCGCCGGTCGCGGGATCGAATCCCGGCTGCGGCGGCTGCATTTCCGACGGAGGCGGAAAGGTTGTAAGCCCGTGTACTCAGATTTGGGCGCACGTTAAAGAGCCCCAGGTGATCAAAATTTCCGGAGCCCTCCACTACGGCGTCTCTCATAGTCATATGGTGGTTTTAGGACGTTAAACCCCACAAATCAATCAATCCATTTAGCGAATCGCAAACTTGTTCCCAGCTGGCTGTCGCGAGTTGATTAGCATACTCTTCGGCTTGCTGCGTTATTTCTTTAATTTTCTCTTTTAGTTTTTTTAATTTCACTTTTGCCTTTTCCATCTTTTAGTGAGGTTTCTTCTTGCTTCCCACAGGTGGAGGAGGAGAGCGTCTACTTCAGGGGTGTCAATTGTTCTAGCGACAGTTTTGGTGTGCATTTGCTTTTCATTTTGAATTACTTTGCACCACTCGTCCAAGTCGTTATGGCAGTCACGTGTGCTTTGAGTGATTTTTTATATGCATGCCAGTCTGTTATTTTAGCTGCGCCGAGGTAAAAAAATCGCCGGAGTTGGTCTCTAAAGAAGGAACACTCACCGCGAGTCCAATAATTGCACAAGAACGTCCCGCAATTTGACAGGTGGTGACGTCATGACTATGCAAAAAAACCATCTGTCTGACTATGGCAGTTTTGTTAGATTGAGCTAAATGGATTAAATGGGCTACATGGTCCTGTTCCAACGTTGAGCTAATTGCGGGCGTCTGTAGATCCGCCATCAAAGGACGACCTGAATAGAACTCGATGAAGGGTGGAAATTTGGGCATATTGGTAAGAGAAGGAATATTCATTGTGTAGTGAATAAGAAAGACGTTGATACCATCAGGTCAGCTATCATCAGCACAAGAAGAAGGCACGAGATAGGCGATCAAGCACCGTCATCTGGGTTCGCCTGCGTTCCTTTAGAGCTACCACCCGCTTGCTCAGTCCTTCAATAAACCCCCTTTACATTTGGTGGATCGTGCTGGGTAACTGCATCAACTACACCCTGGAACTCCGATCCCGCACGCTGCCGTCGACCATGCAAGTTGACGCTGCCCAACAGACAGCACCTCTCGCGGCTCCTACTTGCCCCGGCCCGGTTCACCACCGAGACCCCCCGATCTTTTCGGGTGCCGAAGACCAGGACGTCGAGGACTGGCTGTCGCCCTACGAAAAAGTCAGTGGGCCAAACAGATGGGATGACGCTGCTAAGTTGAGCACCGTCAACTTTTACTTGGCTAATGTGGTGAAGCTGTGGTATACAAACCACGAATCCGAGTTCGAGAACTGGGCCACTTTGAAGCAGGCAATATCCTCGGTTTTCGGTCGCCCTGCCGAGCGGAAGTTGCGCGCCGAACAACGCCTGCACTCACGGGCACAAGAACCTGGCGAAACGTTTACCGCCTATATCGCAGATATACTCGATCTCTGCAAGCGCGTCGATGCCGCAATG